AAGAAAAAATTTCTACAGGTGATTAATAGGGTAGTATGGATTATTTGGACGAAGTTTCAAGTTTGTACGAAAAGATAGCATTTTTCGTCCAAGGGGCACTTTAAAATCATTTATTATATGACCGTGAATCTTAGAGCCAGGACACTAACAAATCAAGTAATCTGATTGGATAGATCGCATCGCGGACTGGTCTAGAGTCTCCGGTATATTAACCGGTCCGATCGCATATTAATCTTACGGCGAAAACATTTTGTCCTTTTCAATGAAAAGTGGTCATATAATAAAACTCTTATCAACCGAGCTTGGTCGGTCGTAGACCGACCAAGCTCGGTTAATAAGATCTAAATATTTTACGTGTGTGTGTGTGTGTGTGTGTGTGTGTATGATCAGGAGTGAACAAGAAACAGTCAAAATCCAGAATTCACTAATTCATCTTTTATGCAGCATTAAAAATGTAATTTGTGAATTTGATTTAAAAAATTTTTGGATGGCCTTGGTTGATGTGGCCGCCATGTGATGAATAGCAATTTATAAAAATAATTGTACATATAAGAGGAAGTTTTGAAAAGCGAAAAAAAAATGGAACTGGCTTATACTTATTCGTAATGGTTTTCGTGCTTGTAACCGGAAGGGCTTACATTCATGTGGGAAGAAACGGTTGTTTCTATTTTATTTTTCCCATTTTTTGTTTTATCACTGTAATGATGGCTAGAACTGGTCAGGGGTGGGCTTATAACCGGGAGCTTATAAATGGAAGGATATTTGTTCAAACCATAGTTAATAGAGGGGACAAGAAAGCTGTTGTTGATAGTATAAACGACTAAAACACGTACCATCAAAAGTGCTAAATTACAATTTGTAGTCAGCCCTCACTACGCCCCTATCATTGATGCATCATGACAATTTGTAAGTCCGTTAAACCAATGTCCAGTCGCTCCTGCAAATGGCCATCCACAAGACGTAGACGCATTCACGAAGAAGGCCAGTTGGAGGATCCGGTACACCAGGAGCTAATGGTTCTCCTGGTTCAAATATGCAACAAGACTTGAGACACTGACAGCAGACACAGTACTTCCACCAATGAAACAACCAAGCAAGGGCAGTGATCCAATCGACCACCAATGAAACCACAAGAGCACCATTACGAGGATTTCCTCGATCGGATGCGACGATAATCGTGTAGATAATGGAAAGAAGCACCACCATACACTCCAAAAGGGCAAACATACGAACAAGGAGGAGAACGAAAAGCGGTCTTCCCACTGTGGTTGGAGAAAGTGACAAATACACCCCACCACAAAAAGTCAATATTCCGAAAAATGCAGAAAGAAATGGAAGGACGAAAAGATCGGCTTCATCGCCATTAGCAATACAAAGAGTGCTGATGAGGGCGACGGCACCAGCCGAGAATAAGTGAGCTGAACTCCATATTCTAGCGCGAGTGAAGTTGACTCTTCCACGCTTGACACCAAAGTTACCATTCCTGTACGTGTCTCGATAGGCATTTCCTCCAAATCTTATGTTTCCGAACTCTATTTCTTCGACCAATATCGTTGGCTCAGGGTCTGTATCTTCATTTACTGTTGCCTGTGTTGATTTATCAGCGATTGTTTCTTCGCCACAGATTTGATCAGACTGGTTCTGATTTGATGCGTCGTTTTTTCCCTCTTTTTCCGCCATCGCGCAAAAACAACTTACCGACTTGAAAAAGACTAAAAGGTCACGGAGTAGGATTCTATTCCTATAACTCTTCTTTTCTCAATGTCGGCCTTTGTTATTTAATGAAGGAGTGAAACCTTTTCAGGAATAGACCGTGGCCGTTGAAGCTCCACTGGTTCTGCTCGATCCTATTTCTGAATATTTTCCAACACTAAACAAGTGGGTACGATGGATGACTGACACCGTTAGTAACTAACTCTTTAGTTAACGAGCCAATTCATCTCTTTCTAAAAGTCGCATCTTATTGGCCGCGAACATGCCATTACCAGAAATGTTGCAAATATGATTACACGCGGGTACAGGGACATCGTCCGCTGGAAACGACCACCATTAAAAAGAAAAATCAGTCTTTACTATTCCTATCATTCTCTAAGTCATGCAATGTCTTATCACTTAAAATGACCTAAGAATAGGTCACGGCACTATAGTATTCAAATAAAAACATTCCCTCTCGTATATGAATACAGCGTCTAATAGGAATTAACGCCACAGAATGAGTCTCAAAAGGGATGTGACAAGCTAGGATTGGACAAACACCCTCATATAAACAACTCACGCGAGCAAACGGCTGGCACGTCACTTTATACAGCTAAGGGGAGCACAACCACGAAGACACTGTGCAGCGCGACCGTTTCCTAAACTAAAGTCCAATCTTCCTATTTATTAACCAGCACACGTAGGCACATTCACGAAGAAAGCCAGTTGGAGGATCCCGTACACCAGGAGCTAATGGTTCTCCTGGTTCAAATATGCAGCAAGACTTGAGACACTGACAGCAGACACAGCACCTCCACCAATGAAACAACCAAGCAAGGGCAGTGATTACATCGACCACCATTGAAATCAAGAGATAAATGCAGAGTATGATAAAAGTCGTGAAGTTTCCTCCCCCGTAGCGACGATTGTGTTCTGTCGGTTCTGTTCCATCTTCCCTGGTGTCATTGATAACTTTTATTGTCAAAATAATTCCAACGCCGACCAGCGTACACTCCAGGACAGCTATGAGACGCACAGCGAAGAGAACAAGAAGAGGTCTTGGAGTGGTAGCGATAGAACCAAGCAAGTAAATACTACAACAAGCCATTACGAGCCCACAAATATCACAGAGTATCGCCACTGCTGAAAATCCGTAAGCTGATTGGCTGTCAACTCCATATTCGTTGTTATCCAGAAGCTGGATACAGGCAGCCGTGAAGCAAGTCATGATCGCAGCTGTCAAGAAGTGAGCAATACTCCATCTTTTAGCACGAGTGAAATTCATTCTTCCACGTCTAACGCCAAAGTTTCCATTTCTGTACGCTTCGTGGTAAGCATCGAGTTCAGACGAGATGTCTTCAGATATTGTATCTGCGGAATCTTCTACTTCCGCAAGGCTGGTAAACATAACTTCGATACTTGATTTTCCACTTCGTGCCTTTCCCTCAATGCTTTCTTTCGTGCCCGCCATCATTTTCTGTTGCGTTATCTTGTTATCCACAGGTAACCCAAATCTGTTGTTCAACCAGACAAACCTAACACCGAGGGCCGGCCACAAGATCGATTGCATCTTATTTTCATTCTCGTTTTCAGATCCTCCTCGGTTGTCGTTCCTTCACGTCAGAGGCTCTGGGAAACCCTACAAATTCTCGCAATTTGATTGGCTTTTAAGAAGAACAACAGATCTACTTTTTGATTGGATAATCGAAGACAAATAGATGTTTTGCTCGCCATTTGTAGATTTTACAAAACCAAAGGCTTGTCCATGCTTGTCCTGGCTTTTCTTGGAAAGAGTTCGAGCATGCGCCGTGAGGTCGTGATATATTTCTTGCTTCCGGCGTAGGGTTTCCCAGAGCCTCTGACGGGGAGGACGAAGGACAACCGAGGAGGATCTGGCAACGAGAATGATCTTATTTTTAAATGATCAAAAAACAAACAAACCAAACAAACAAAAACAAATTATAACCCAACTAACAAATTTTAGCCAACTTCTTAATTTTTTGGGGGGAGAAAAAAACTTTTTGCACCCCTCTCCTAGAAAGCCACTCTCGCTCTTCAACTCCCCTCCCTTCCCCTCCCCCCGTTGCTTGCCAGACGTTTGACAAAAGCAGTCGTGAAGCAAGTCATGATCGAACGCAGCCGCCAAGAAGTGAACAATACTCCACCTTTTAGCACGAGTGATTGAAATTCATTCTCTTCCACATCTAACGCCAAAGTTTCTGTACGCTTCGTGGTAGGCATCGAGTTCAGACGGGATGCCATCACATATAACGTATGGGGAATCTTCTGTTTGCGCAATAACTTCAACGCTCGATTCTCCAGGTTGTGCCTTTACATCGTTGCTTTTTTCCGTGTTCGCCAATCTACAGGTAACCCAATGGGTTGGACAACTGTGGCTGTGATTTCTTCAGCAAATACTTCACAATGAGACCGGGCAATAAATTTGACAGTGCGAAATTGATTGAACAGGAGCATTCGATACCATGTGGGATCAGCTAAAACATAATACTGAGCATGCGCGATGGTCCATCCAACCCGTATTTGAATGAAACTACCTCTGGGCTGGTCAGGGTACGGCAAAATTAAATCATAGTTAATCTATTAACTATGATTAAAATGGAATTGAGCACGTTATGTGGAGGGAGGAAATCATAGAAAAAAGACCTAGAATTAAAAGAGTCCCAAACTAATATGTGATGCCGGCCGAGTCCGGGAATCGAACCCGACAGTTTTAATGACTTCACGGGTGTTCTCTACAGTACAAAATTAATACACTTTACTTGTGAAGTAAGCACACGCAAATAACTTGAAAAATATGACTGAACATATTTTTAAAGAATTATATTACTACAACACGCTTGTACATGTCCAGCTGAAAGTATCTAGCACACCAGTCTTTGCAGGAATTGCAAGTATCAGTGGTTTAGTAGCGTTTGATTCATTCAACGTGTTGTTAATTTATCATCTCACGTTCACCTGCAAAAAAAAAAAAGATTTGGTGAACCATAATTAACCTCTACTTTGGCGTGATTTTTTCTCATTTCAGATTAAATGGTTATTCACTTGAGCATATTAGATTCTTTGTTTGAGTTGTACAATGTATTTGTATTTGTGTCTTCACACGTGCAACCGTTAAACAAAGAAATAATACTTTCGGGAATGACACGTGTTTTGAAATGGGAAAACATTTTCAAGGTGAAGAGGTCTTTACCACACATAATGACAGTACAGTTTCAATTACACGCATACAATACATACGCAGTCAGTAACATATCGGAAGTATAAACGTTCATGATTTAAAGATGCAACATTCAAATGAAGAAATATTTCACCATTCAACTATTCACTTTATGTAGACTCAATACTTAAAGTATTGTATCAGGGGTGAGGTGCACTTTAAAATTTCCAGCACCTGTCACTCTAAAAGAACACAACACATTTCTATGCATGACTTACGATATCATCAATCTTCAGAATACTTCGCACTGTCTCGGCTGCCAACTGAATCGCACTGGTTGATACCAGCAGAGGCTGAAGAACATTCTCTTCTAGGATGTTGGTAATAGTACCCTAAAGATGAAAAACTAGGAATTAAAAAAATAGTTTTTGTGCATCAAAACCTCACGAATTATATATATAATATATAAATATAATATATACACCTAATTGAAAAAACATTGTCGGGTTCAAAAAAAGGTTATATCATCAAAGCTAAGACAGAAGGGGAGCATGGGGAAACAAACGATTATGCTAATTTCATGCGTATTGCAGTTTTCCCTTCCTGTGCACATTTTATGCATAATGGCTTTGGCATGTTGTTAATCTAGGTCAACCGACTTTGTTCTAATGTGCATTTTTACATGTCTATATAATACACATTTCGGAGTACCCAAAATCCTTTTCGGTCTTGGCTTTGATGATATGACCTTCTCGAACCCGACTACATTTTTTCAATTAGCTGTATATATATATATGTTGTAAATACAGAATTTTTCAGTGTATATATAATTTTATCATATAATTATCCATAAAATATCTATATTTCTCCTTCTCCTTCACATGTTATTTTCATATGTGAAAATATCGTTACCATGTGTATTTAAGCTATTAGTTTATAAATAAAAACTTTTTATAATCATAAAAAAAAAATTGCGCGCGCAATTAATTCTCCCTTCGTAACATACGCGCTCCTAGCAACTGATACATTTAACTTTAGCACGTGCACATTGTTATGTTGCGTGTTTCTTGTAAAACTGTCACAACCGTTTGCCCTGATGAAGAGCAAGATGCTCGAAAGCTTGGCTTAATTTATAATTAAAAAGCTGATGAATCATAACTATCATGCATAAAAAGCTTGTTAAGTTGATTTTATGGATAATTATATGATAAACAGAATATTACATGCGTGCTTGGAGATACGAAATTTATCTTCTCGTGTTCAAAATCTCTCACTCGTTCGCTGCGCTCACCAGTGGGAGATCTTTTCAACACTCGAAGATAAATTTCGTATCTCCGTGCGCCCATGTAATATCCTCTATATTATTATTAGGTTGATTATTCATTCCCACTTTTTCTACCTTTTTACGTTTTCAGAATTCATTAATAATTAATATATAATTATCATAATGATAAATACATGTCAAAACATTTTAAAATATTAATGGTCTAGTCTTACTTTTCGAACATTAATACCAGCAGCGATCTCTCCCTGGGCATGTCTGTTTCGTAGCTCAGTCACAGTAGCGATTGAATTCAGGCCTGCATTCTCAGCGAGGGTGTAAGGGATGATTTCTAAGGCCTCGGCAAAAGCACGCACACAGTATGCATCTGTACTAGTTAGTGTCTGGGAATGCTGGGCTAGTCGTAAGGCAACTTCTATTTCAGGGGCTCCACCTCCAGCTATGAGTGCCCTTTAAGGTACAGATGTATCAATATCAGAATATTACAAGTTTCTATATACCCCTTAGGTGTCCCATGATGCATTTGGGTTACATGGGTCACATGAAATAATAAGAGTAACTATAGACCACTTGCATCAAACCACTAACTGGGGTCAACATAAAAAAAGATGTATCAAATTGAGCTGATCCTTGCAGTATATGAAGCAACTTATGAAGCCGCAATTTGAAAGACTCTGAGTCTTGAAAAATTCTGAGTCTTGAACGAGATTTGAACCCCTGCTCTGGCGACTCCGGCGCCATGCTCTAACCACTGAGCTTCCAAGTCTCATATGAGACTTCAAGGACACATTAGGTGGGTTTATCAGCCTGAGAGGAAATATATGTTCTCTTACACACACACAAAAAAAAAGACAGTCCTCAAAAGAAGGGAATTCTTTTGTTTTGAACCTCATTAGAAATTGATGCAAGTAAGGTCCATAGTTTATCGTTAAAAGAGGTTCTTACTTTTTCTTGACTAGACATCTAATGACGCACAGAGCATCATGAATTGATCTATCAGCTTCTTCCAACACAAGCTTGTTCGAACCTCTCACTAGTATGCTTACTGTTTTACCAGGGTTTGTTACTCCAGTTATCTGAAGGACAAAAAGGTATTTAACACCAATGGGACAAAAAATGTAGCATAACAGCAAAATTAGCAAAGATCCAAGAATAATCTAAGGTCTAGCTCAAGGGTGGCTGCCCGGTAGTTCACTAGCCTGCCATCTCTGGGATCTCAGGGTTTATTCCTGAATTCTGCATCACATATGACTAAAGTTTGTTAGGTCCTCCTTGATTAAAGGGTTCTTCTTTGGTTTTCCCCACTCCAAAAGCTACCAAGTTGCTAAACTTTGGTCCAATATGTGAATTATATTTAATTGTCCTGACTTTGATCAACCCAGAGAGTTTTTCATGAATCCAAAAAGTTTTGAAAGGTGTTTTTAACAACTAATGGAATTTACAGACTAGTCCTTTTAATTTTGCTCTCTCCTGATTGGCTCCAGTTTTCACTCAACATTGTGATTGGTTAACTTTGTGTCACAAGGTAAAAGCCCTGACAAACTAAGAAAATCAGAATCATCTTGTTTGCAAGCTGGTGTATTCTGCAAATAATTTAGGTTTAAATACCTTGACTACTTTGGTAGTTCCAACAGGAACCTCTTCAACTAGTTCAGCAGATGCTAGCATTTCAGGTGTGAAATGATCCAAACTAGCAACAGGTTTACACCCAATGCTCTAGAATTGACGAGAAAATATGAAGATTATGTAAAGTTATTTAGATTTGATGAGAAATTGTGGTAATCATAAATACCTAATGATGACAACGATGATGATGATGATAATGAGATAGTTAATATTAAAAAATTGATAGATGCGCTGAAAATGGTGATACTCCTAACAACTGATGAACCATTTATGTGGTAGTCAATCTCAAGAAAAAATCAGAGATTCAGATGTGTCAACCTTCATTACCTTGCAAATGAATTCTATTTCATCCCTCTCTATATCGCGGACAACAAGAATCTTCATTTTATTGAGGAAATGCAGCGCAAGATCATTCACAGCATCCCTGAAATCACAATTCAACTATATTCAAGAGAAATTTCATTTTGTTCCCTTCTTTGTGCCCTGCTGACAATTAAAAAAAATTAAGAATTTAATGACCATAAAAAAGCAGGGATAAGAGACATTGTTACTGATATCAAAGCAATAGTGAAATATGCAACCTCTGAAATCGTACAATAATTGATGTGTCAAGAAAATTTCATGTAATAATCTATTCAATTCAGATTTTTTTCTACATTTTTGTAGGTAAGCTTTCTGCAAATATTTTTATGCTGTACATGGTGCAGGTACTCAAATTAAAGCTATACCTGATTGTACCTTGTTACACAAGTTCAGAAAGAGTCTAGACAGTGTTACAAGGTTGACTACTAAAAATGTGCACAAATGTGAGAACAAAGATTAAAAAATTAGTAAAGAAATACCTCAATATAGACTTTTGAATAAGAAGCACATTGCATCCAGCCTTTTTGATCTTCTTGCAGATCTCCAGGATATATTGCCTTTCTTCTCTCAACACACGATCCATCTGAGTGTAGTCACTAACTATAACTTGGTTCTCCATCTGTTTAATCACAAGAAGAGGGAAAATAAGTATGGACTTTTCTTATGAGGCTGTCATGTTAGCTGAAACGTGTGCAAAGGTCATTAACGAATATTACCATATGCCCTGTACAACCCTGCTGACTTGCTCTAATAAAACCTTTGGAAAAATCCATGTGATGGGGGATGGATATTTTTCTGCCATCCCTTCCACTCGGTCAATAAGTACATAAGAAATAAGTTCTAGTTTTATCTGGGATATAATATTAATGGCTGCTTGATAGCCAAACATGATGACCGACCATATTGGACCGATCAAAATGTGACCAGTCAATGTTTCCAACCAAGAGTCTTTGTACGGTCAGACAAGTGCAGATGACCATCCATCATTTTTTATCCCTCTAAGATTAATGCAGATCTACGTACATCAGTTTTGGGTGGTGAGATACAGAACTGAATGAGACCAATCTTTGCTTTTTCTACTTGGGATATACCACCAGCCAAATGAGATATCTTCTGTTCCAGAACCAATCCTTCTATTAGCTCTGTGTCCTCTACAGTACCGCTGTTAAACAGATGAATAATTCAAATATCAGTCTTACAAACCAGACTCTAGCCTAGGGGGTTACACTTCAACTTTAACTTTGGTTAAGATGGTCTGTAAGAACAAATTGGCATACAGCCAATTATACATACTACTTGGACAATAATGCAGCCATCTTGGATCGCAAGGCATTATGTGGTGTCCAGGGATCCAATAAAGTTTTGTTACAGTAACGGCATTGATTGATTGTGAATACATGCTTGGGGTCCAGAACAGGGAAACTTTCGCTTTTCAGACCATCTTAATTCAGGCAAATGAGACTCTGGCATTGAATATTATGACAAATAAACAAACTTTTCGAAACAAATGTGGATTACTCATTTACTTACCCAAGTTTTTTGACAATTCTTATGTCCCTAAGGTCAACATTATCTGATATCTTAGGGTCCACTACTTTGAGTACAGCATCAACAGCGATTGGGGCCAGGAGATTTGAATTCTGTGACACAACCTTTAGATAAACAAAATAAAAGCAATGCAAAAAATATCTACCTTAGCACAGACAAGGAAAAGATAAATCGATTCAAGAGTAAATGTAGTTGCAGTTGTTGGTGATTACAATGTCTGAAGCCTAAATTAATGTCAAGTAAAACTTCAAGTTTCATTGATACCCTGATACCCTGAATTGAGCTTGAGCCCCTAGGGGTGAGAGCAGAATGCACTACTACTACTCCACCCTTGATTCACTAACTCTAGTAGGAAAAACGTAGCTTAATAACTAGAAGTCTTGGGGGTACTATTTTTAAAATTATAATGTACCTTGGAATTGAGTGCTGTGGTGGCACTCTTTAGTAATGATTCTCGGTCATTTAGACTAAGAGGAGTTGACATGTTGGTGAGGATCTCAACAGCTTTACATGAGGCTTTTTGGAAAGCTTCTGAGACTGTCGTGGGGTGGATACCTGGAAAAAATAAGAAGTTTATGTTATTGAGATGTTTCAGTTTGAGTGAAGAGTTCTTTATATATACTCGTATGCATTACCTTCCCAAATTTCATCATTAATTTATCTAGAAGGATTCTGAACTGAAACTGAAAATATTCAGACTAGAAGTGTGCAGGCTGTATGTCATAATGAAACCATCATAATTAAAGTCTTTTCTGTATTTCAATAGTAAAGCATCTGACCGGCATCCAGAAGGTCATGGGTCCGACTCCTATCAGTGGCAAATGATAGATTATTCTATACTTCCTTTCTAGTTTATAATAAAATTTTGTCATTAAAGAGTTCTTTAATTCAAATTCATACGGTAAACAATAGACCTTTCTAGCTTTGTATACAAATTGCCTATTTTAGATCACATAACATTCCCTTGAGAATTGCTCTTTTATGATGAACATGTTAAGATGTTTACACATGAAAGAATCAACTCCCAAGAGTGACATCACATGGTCTGAAATGTGCACAACAAACAACGAAGCTAATGAGGTCTATTTGGTACCTTTTTCTAACATCTTAGCAGCTGCACTAAGAAGACTTCCTGCGATAACAACAACAGTTGTTGTACCATCTCCTGCTTCTATGTCTTGTGCTTTAGATAGCTCAACAAGCTATAGGAATGAAGTAGAAAACGCAGTGTTAGAGGTGTGGAACTTCTTTTCTTAGCTATTATTCTGAACTACACCCCTTGAAAATTCAAATCCCACTCTATGAGGGAGGTATGGATATTTCCTGAAAATACACAATATATCCTCGTCAGACCCTCCCAACTCTTGAGGAAGGCTGACAAGCAGGTCATTTGTGAATGGCCAGTCAAATGTTCAGTCAAGCAGCCATTTTTCTGATTAATGGCATAAATTTGCAGCCCTTAATCAGGGCCGTAGCCACCAACTTTTGATTGGTTTAGTTTTCAAGGGAGGGGGAGGGGTAGGGGGATAGGAACAAGGAAAAGTATAGGGAAGACCTCCTACACTTAATATCTATTCAAACTCATCCCAAAGTACTCAGATTTTGAATGTTGCCGAAGTACTTTTTCTTGACTCTTTCTCGTTCTAATCATTTTTTTAAATCTTTTTTTCAATGATTTTTCTCATTGTTTTTTTTATCTTTTTATTTTTCTTAAATTAAAAATTTTTTTTTTAAAAAGTTGGTTCGGTTGAAACCAGAACAACCGTACCGGTGGCTACGGCCCTGTTAATGGGAGAGATCTGAACTGATAATGACAACTGTGATGATCAGTAATTATGATTTATTACAATGATTTATTTACCATTCTTGCAGCAGGGTGAAGGACTTGCATTTGTTTTAAGATTGTTGCCCCATCATTGGTTATAGTCACGTCCCCATTACTAGCCTGAATCTAAACATAGAAACAAAAATACTATAACAACTAACATCATAAAATTAAACCAAAATACCAACTTTAGTCAACTTTGAACACATAAAAATTAACCTAGCTTGGGGGGGGGGGGGGATTGAACAACACTTGCACTCAGAATATCCATTTTGATGAAAAATAAGTTGGTGCCTTGTTTATAACAATAAATCTGTCACATAGCACATCCTTGATTTTAAATTTAAAAGAAACTTGTCATCTCTAATCGCCACCATAAAGTACAGCAGTGGTGCAGCTCAATGGGGTCAAACTGAAAACATGTGAAGGTGTCTCTAGCAGCCGCTATACGGTCTATGTATGACCCCAGAGCACAGCTTTAATCAGTTTTAATTAGATAGGGTTGATTTGAAACAAAAAAAAAATTAATCAACCCTTTATAATGATATTTTTTGTAAAAAAAATATTCTTTTTCCAGTACACACCTTCAAAAGGGGATGGGCACAAAGCACTCTTTCCTATTTCTACACAAATTTCTAAATTTTTTTGATAAACTGGTATAAATAACATTAGATGTAACAAAATTTTCCTGATTTGTCAACTTATAGAAGTACAGTTTAATGTTGAAAGACCACGGTAAAATTTAGAATCACAGGTTGAAAGTGCCCCATGTGTGAAAGTACGTCTGACGACTACATCTCTCAAAACGATTACATCAAATCAAAATTTAGCCATTTTGCTAATAAATTGAAGGATATAGGGAGATGAATGGCTAAAGTAACAATCCATAGCACAACACTGTACAGAATATGAGTAAAATATCTCAGCTGTCAAATTATTGCAGTAACTTTGAAGTATTTACCATTTTATCCATTCCTTTTGGACCAAGACTCGTGCGAACAGCATCTGCAACAGCTAAAATAAAACGACGAACGTTAAAACCATATCTCGGTTTATTTGATATCTTAGGAAAAAGACAACAAATCTACCTTTTGCTGCAGTAATATTAGTCATACGAATCTCTGTTGGCTTCTCCTTGTCTTTGAAGGCACTCTTCTTCTGACCACCATTTGGCTTCGCGGCTTGCGTAGACTTAGCTTCTGGCATTGTACAACGTTAGTTCAAGGAGTAAGGATGATATATTCTAGCTAAAATTTTTAAAAACTCCTTTGATAACGAGGATGAATTTGGATTGCTGTACGAGTGTACCGGTATTTTCTTGTACACTTTACCAAAGATGGCTACCCTTACGAGCCCACAAACATTTCCAATTCAAGCAGCGGTTAAACTTTTAAGCGGGACTTTTGAGGGATTTTCGCGGGACTTGGAAGGGAACGCCTGGCTAACTCTGTTTTGCATGCTGTTGTAGGGTTGTATTCATTCACTCTTTTCTAAAACGTTTTCTTGAGAAGCTATGTGAAAGATGCCAGCAGAAGTATCAGAAAAGAAAGAGGTAATGTCATAAAAGCATAAGATGAAAGAATATTTTGAAAAAGTGTTCATTACATGCAGGCTTGCAAAAAAATTGCACCAGTCTAAAATCATTATGGTAATAAATTGTCGAAAAAGAAAAACAAAAGGGATTTGATAAAGCACGTTTTGAGGCATTTTTTATAATTATTATACACTGAAGATGATTGTTTTTKATTATTATTTATCTACGAGGTAAATCCTTTTTTGTTGGGCTTATTAATTGTTGAGAAGGTTTCACCTTTCACACATACCCTTCCCCTGTTCCCAATCAATAATCAATCGAATAAATAGGATGCAATCACATGATTAGATTCAATTGCATTCGGCAATCGAACGGAATAGAATGCTAAAAAAATTGTGAATTCTATTGCATTTGATCGAGCATAATTGAATGTTCGATTGTGTTCCATTTACTGATCCAATCAATCCTAAATAACAATTAAGCGTAATCAAAAATTAATGCTCGTTAGTGTTAATAATAATAATAATAAATAATTTATATAGCGTTGATATCCTTAAGTTCAAAGACGCTTTACAATATAAAAATGTGACTCAAAAAATAAAATTAAGAAAAGAATTACTTTTTCATGAATGTGTTTGATTGGCTCTAATTACGTGAATTTGATTTCATTCGATTTCTGAATGCCATCCAATCTTTCCATTGGATTCGATTGGATTCTATGGAACCAGACATTTGATTTTGTTTGATTAATTAGAATAGAAAGAACCACTGAGGACATAGAAAAATCCTCCCAGTGACCACTTTCATTGTCTGGCTTTTACTTATGATTTCTTAATGGTATATGGGGATTTTGTGCAATGCACCTTCGTTGTGTTCTAGGTTGTGCAGCACCAGCCTGTAGGAAAAATATAACTTGTAATCAAATTGATGTCTGTAAATTAAATCATTTATCGTATTTTTGTGTCAGATAGAGAAAACTACTTGGGAGAAGCTTCAGCTTCCATATGATCCAGACTGTGTTAGCTGCAAGGTTATTGGAATGTTAACCTTATATGGTGCAGGAATACTGGTCTTGAGCAATGTGAAAAGAGTGCCTGAAGCCAACAAAGCTGGGAAATTTGCTATGGGTCTCTTTGGATTAGGTATATTTATAGGAATCATACCCTTGAATTTATCAAACTTTGAAACAACCTTTGGCCTGATCTAAGTCAGTGCATGGTTAGTCATAGAGCACTGGAAAAATAAAACAATATGAATTTATATATTCTTGTTTATTTTGTAGGTTTACTTGGCACTGGAACGATGAGGCTCTTTGTATAAACACTTTGAGAAAATATCCATATTTCTCCTCAGAGGACTAAAATCTTAAAGGAGTGGGGAGGACCTTATACTTTATTTAAATGAAAGTTTTCAATAGAGCTGATTAACCAATTTCCCCCAGTTTTCTGTAGTATGTCCTTACTTACCACATTTTTCATCATCTAGCCGTCCAAATGTTGTGGAAGTGGTAAATGAGAGAAAAAAGAAAACTGGGGGAAATTGGTTTCTTACCACAGAAAATTTGCGATTTTACCACAAAAACAAGGGAAAAATTTGAAAGAAAAATGGTTTGAATGTGTGTGTGATTTGCTGGGGTAATTTATCAGTATGTCCTCCTATTTCTCTTGGCTCTAGACCAATCAGAAAGTGAGAAAACTCACAAATGTGGCAAAATAAAAAATTTGACATTTGTCCACACTTCTGGAGAAAGTATGGGTGTTTATTATCTACCCTGTTGGATTAAGAAAATAAATTTCACATATATTTTTGGAGCAAAACACTGAGGTAAAATACTTTTGTATGCTAGTTTTTGTATAAGATTTAAACACTTCAAATTTTAATTTATAGGATGAAGTTTTATTTTGATTCTTGGGCTTGATAAGAAAGTTATATCCGATTAAATGCAACAAATATTGTTTCAAATGTAAAACGAGAAAACTTTAATGTGATGGATACAAAGAAATAAAAGAAAACTATAGAAAAAAGGTAAAAATAAATGACATGATTTATTTTATTTTATTTTATTTTAATTCATTTTATTTATTTATTATTTTATTTTATTCTATTGTATTCTATTCTATTGTATTCTATTCTATTCTATTTTATATCTTCCTTTCTTTCTCTTTTTTTTTTTTGGCTTCTTCAAAAAAATGTAACTTTCATTTTTCTTTATTTCATTCCTCTATTTTTTCTTTCCATTCTTTAATTCATTTTAATAATTTTGAAGTTTACTTTTACTCAGATTTTCTTTTAAAATCATCTTTATTGTTGCTCTTACAAACAAAAGAACTGCAACTTGTCTAAAAAGTTCACGTTGAAAAAACCTCAAAAAATCAATATTTTTCAATTCATTACGTCATGACTAAAAATATACAAATCACATAATCTAACTATCGTTTTAAAGGGCCACTTGGACGAAAAT